TACCGATATTTCATGTTATCCACTGCGCGGTAATAAGCAACACCAAAGAAAAAAAATTAAGGAGGAAAAAAACAAATGAATGACTTTTTTCAAAACTCAAATGTACCAGCTAAATGAATTTAGAATTTGGAATTCTTATCCAAAGAGGAGATGTTTCAGATCAAAGTGGTCAGTACGACAAAATGCTGATTTTTTAAGTAAGGAACTAGTAAATGGACATTTGCTCTGTAATGTTATAGTTAATAATTGGATATGTTGTAAAAACTGATCAACGGTTACCGTGAGAAATAAAGATAGTCTGCATCCTACAACCGTCGTTTCAATACACGTTACATGGCGCAGTCGGGTTTAGAAAAAAATATATTATTTTTAGTGCGTATATAATGGAAAGCATTTTATCTCCTCCTCAGCCATTTACCTACGATGGTAATTCGGTCGACTTACTATCTGGCAGCCTGCATGAGATGTGGGTAAAGTGGAAGAAATTTATATTAAAGCGTGTGAGATTAACAAAAAGGCGGCAGATGTGCAGTATAATATCTTTTTGCACGTAATCGGTGAACAATGTCGGGAAATCTTATATCAAGGTGGAGAAAACATTACAACTGTTGAAGGTGCGTTGCAAAAATTGGACGATCAATTTAAATGTAAGAAAATTGTAACCGTCGAGCGTCATAAATTTTTTTCAAGAGAACAGAGAGAAGGTGAAACCATTGAACAGTACGTGTTCGAGTTACGCAGATTATCTCAATCGTGTGATTTTAATACTATGAACGAAGAGTTAATAAAAGACAGGCTGGTCTGCGGGGTAACTAGTGCGAACATTCGAGAACGTTTATTACGTGAAGAGGATTTAACACTAAAAAAGGCAATGGAGATATGTAGGGCTGCAGTTGTGTCTCGAATTTATAGTGAGGACATAAAAAAGGAAGTTAAACCAGTATTTCAGTTATATAATGAGAGTCAGGAAAATGAGGGTCAGATTGATGCAATCAGGAGACATGATGCCAATAAAGGGACGCGGACGGCGCGACTTTCGTGGGTTATCGTCATCATCATCGTTGTGGCGTGGGGGACGTGGTCGCGGTCCGTGGAGAGGCGCGCACTCTCACGCTACTTCATACTCGCGAGGTGGCGGGTTCGATTCTGGGGGAAGCCGTCAATATGGAGCTAGCCGGTGTAATAGCTGTGGAGGTGCGCATTTGAAAAACGAATGCCCCGCTATTGGAAGACAGTGCATGCGATGTTCAAGGATGAACCACTTTGCCAAAATGTGTAAAGTGTATTGTGTGGAAAATACATATGAACAGGTATTAAATATTAGTTGTGATGATAATGATTGGAATTTAAATTTAATAATAAACAGTCAGCCTTTAAAGTTTAAATTAGATACGGGGGCCGATGTAAATGTGTTACCTTTAAGCTATTTATACAAAATTGGTTTAAAAGAAAGTGATTTATTGTCAACAAATACGAAATTAACTGGTTATTCAGGAACTATGATAAAAGTGATAGGGAAAATATATTTGAGCATTAATTATAAAAACAAATTTTATTTATTACAATTCAAAGTTGTTGATGTTCAATCTGTTCCTATTTTAGGTCGAGATGCCTGCACAGAACTAAATGTGGTAAGGCGTGTGATGTCAATTCAGGAAAATACAGTGAGTAAGAAAATTATACCTAAAGTTGTGGATGGATATAGTGATGTGTTTCATGGGTTAGGTTGCTTACCCGGAAAATATAAAATTAAATTGAAAGAAAATTCGGTACCAGTAGTCCATGCTCCTAGAAAATTGCCATTTTCTATTAGAGAACAAGTTAAAAGTAAGTTGTCGGAGATGGAACGTCAAGGAATAGTCTCAAGAGTTGAGGGTCCGTCTGATTGGGTTAGTAGCATAACAGTAGTCAAGAAACCAAACGGGGACTTACGTATTTGTTTAGATCCGAAAGAGTTAAATGAAAGTATAAAAAGAGAACACTTTAGAATTCCTACCTTAGATGAGATCGTGGGCAAACTTGCTGGTGCAAAATACTTTAGTACTTTAGATGACACAAATGGATTTTGGCAAGTGGAGCTTGATGATTCCAATTCTTTGTGTACATTTAACACTCCTTTTGGTAAGTATAAATTTTTGAGGATGCCGTTTGGTATTTGTTCAGCATCTGAGATATTTCACAAAAAAATGTATGAAAATTTTGATGATTTAAAGGGTGTTTGTATGTATGTTGATGACCTCTTGATCTTCGGGTCTAGTAGGAGGGTTCACGATGAAAATTTAAAGAAAGTTTTAGAAAGATGTAGAAAAATTAATTTAAAATTGAATTTAAATAAATGCAGATTCGGCCTCACAGAAATAAAGTATTTAGGTCATTTGATAACAAGTAACGGTATTTATCCTGATAAATCACATATTTCTGCCATTACCAACATGCCTACGCCGAAAAATAGAAAAGATGTAGAAAGATTGTTAGGATTAGTAACTTATGTGAGTTCATTTATTCCGAGCCTTTCGGACAAAACTTTACCTTTGCGAGAATTATTAAAAAAACATACCGAGTGGCAGTGGTACGATAGGCATGATAAATGTTTATTTATCAGCGCGTCCTATATTGCAATATTTATATATGAGAAAACCAATTTTGTTATCTGTGGATGCTAGTAGAACCGGTCTCGGCGCATGTCTATTACAAAATAATTTACCAGTTTGTTATGCTTCAAAGTCATTAAATGACGCCGAGAGAAAATACGCTCAGTTTGAAAAGGAGCTTTATGCGGTTTTATTTGCATGTGAAAGATTTTATATGTATATTTATGGTAGATCAGACATTATTATCGAACCGGATCACAAACCATTAATAAGTGTAATAAAGAAACCTATTATAGACTCCCCTCCGCGTCTCCAAAGAATGTTGTTAAGATTACAGCGTTATACATTTAAACTTATCTATAAGCCAGGTAAATATATATATACATCGCAGACACTCTGTCGCGCGCACACGAAAACAGTGAGTCGATCCCGCTCGAGCTAGCAGCGCACACGGCAGAGCACTCGTTCGGCTCAGTGTACGACGAAGTGTGTATGGTAACGCATGATATGATGTCGCACGCGGCACAACAATTCGATGATATTCAACTTATGCGCATACAAAAATATACAGAAAAAGATGATGAATTAAATTTGGTAAAAATTTGGTAAAAAAAAAAATCTCAAATGAGGTCAAACCATATTGGAATTACAAAGAGAATTTAACATTTACTTTTGGTATAATTTGGAAAAATGAGAAAGTAGTTATTCCTAAAATTTTGCGAAGGGAAATGTTAAAAAACCTTCATATAGGACACATGGGTATAGAAAAATGTAAGTTAAGGGCGAGAGAAACTATTTTTTGGCCTGGAATTAACAATGACTTACAAAATATGGTTCAAAATTGTAATATATGTTTATCGCACAGGAAGAAAAAATCAAAAAGAAACGTTACAGTCACATGATATTCCAAATAGACCGTGGACAAATTAAGGAATTGATTTATTTTATTTACGAAATAAAAATTATCTTTTATTAGTCGATTATTACAGTAAATTTTTTGAAGTGGTAGAATTACATATTACAAGTTCAGATTACGTAATTAAATGTATGAAAGATATTTTTAGTCGTCAAGGAATTCCATGCATTGTTGTATCAGATGGCGGGCCACAGTTTTCATCATATGGTTTTAGGCAGTTTGCTAATGAATGGAAGTTTACTCATACCACCTCCTCTCCACATTACCCACAATCCAATGGTCAGGTTGAGCGTACAGTTCAGACAGTAAAAAATATCATGCGTAAGTCGAGTGAAGATGGATCAGATTATCGGCTTGGCCTTTTAGAATATTTAAATACTCCTTTAGCGGATGACGTTCCATCTCCCTCAGAATTGCTACAAAGTAGAAAACTGCGTAGCATTATGCCTGTGTCGGTAATGCAATTGAAACCTAAAATACAAAAAAGTATTCATAAAAACTTAATGAATCGTCAAACTAAACAAAAAGTATATTATGATCGCAATGCAAAAGATTTAAGTCCATTGCAGGTAGGACAAAATGTCGAAATTCTGCAAATGGGTGGTTTTCAGAAGAGGTTTTGGGTGGCTGGAACCGTTACTCGTATATTGAGAAATCGTTCGTATGAAGTACAGTTAAAAACGGGTACCAAAATAGTCAGAAATCGCAGACACATCATTGTAGACCCAACTGATAGACATGACACGCCTTACTACAATTTCGATTATGATGATATAGTCTTGCATGATGCAAATGTAAATGACAACATTGATAAAAATGTACGTGTCACTCGATACGGTAGGACTGTCAGACCGCCTGATAGGTGGGGATATACGCATATTATACAAAGATAATTTATAACACGATTATACGCATGTTTTGAAATTAAAGCATGTTAAGAAACGCAGGGACAAAGGTCATGTAAAAAAAAAATAGTTTTAAAATAAAAACAATATCATAAACTCAGCATTTATTTAATTCAGTCCAGTAATAAGATTTTCATACTTACAATTTCCCATTTTAAAAAAGGTTGTTATTGGTAGATAGAAAATTGTATCTGTTAATATTTAAATGAATATTATTCAGTTTCTGTATATAGATAATTTAATTTAATGTTATTATAGTGTAAGAAGAATATAATTTGAAAAATATGGTTCTGTACAGTTTTGTATAGGAAAATATAAAAAAAAATACGCATATTATACAAAGGTAATCTATAATACGATTTTGCGCATGTTTTGTTTTTTTTAATAATTGGAGGTATGTTGTAAAAACTGATCAACGGTTACCGTCAGAAATAAAGATAGTCTCAACCGTCGTTTCAATACACGTTACATGCTCCCCCCCCCCCCCCCCCCCCCTAAACTAAAAGTGCCTTATTATATCTATTAAGATTGAAGTTGTGTTAATGGTATAGCTATATAAAGTTTAATATTGCATTCTTTTTGTTTCAGAGTATTACACGGAGCTGACTTGAAAAAAATTAGAGTGGCAGTTAACTCTCTTATAAAAAGTATTTTATTGATTGTTAAAACCATAAATCTCTTTCCAAAATAGGCTTAAAATGCCCGAACATACTCCAGCACCGACACATGCAAGATCTTTGTATGGATTTTTTATGTACTTGTTCAGTAAAATTGTCTTGGGTATCTATTTCACTTGGGCGTTTATGCCTGATTATTATTTACATTATTTTAATATTTATTATTATCCACAAAAATATTGGTCCACTGCGGTTCCTATTCAGTTTCTTGTAGCACTAACATTATTTGCTTTCCTTATTTATCCTAGTTCAAATTTAATATTAACGATTGACATCGGCAGCATAAACACAATAAACGATCCCCATTCCCAAAAAACTTTCAAGAAAAAATCTCCAAAAAACCAAATTACTAATTGTGTGTGTCATGACTTTAGTAAATGTAAAAAGAATAGTTATACAAGTTTAACGAGCGTTAATAACAAAGTTCCACAGTTACAAGATTTAAACATTAGATTTGTATGTCGAAAATTGTATCTTAATGAATAAAAAATATTTTATTTATAAAGCTGTCTTATTTATAAAATTACGTTACTATTATATAAAGAGAATAACAAGTATGCATGCAATCTAAATATAACTAAGGTACCTGATACAAATAAGGCCTGTAGTGCAGAACAGTCTATTAAAATATGTTTACATCAAAAATACTTTACACACGCATAGATGACAGTTCTACAACTCGGCAAACTGCACGAGCGGTCCGCTCGAGCTCATAGGCCGTATACAGAAAGAAAGCCGAAAACCGACCAGCGCCGATAAGCGCCGATTACCGGTAACCGCGCACGCATTTCTACGGACTAGCGCCGATAAGTGCCGACACGCGGTGGTCAGCGTTGGCACTGCCATTTTAAATTATTAATAATGATACGGAACCCTTGGTGCGCGAGTCCGACTAGCACTTGATTCCGATTTTTTTTATTATGATCTATGTTGTCCGAATAATAAATGATTTGTATTTGAATTATTATCCTTAGATTAAATCATTCTAAGTTATAATCTTTTTATAAATGTAATAACTTTATCTTTTATTAACTAAGCGCTAAAATTATTTGTTTCGTACTTACCGAATGGTGACAACAAGTCTTTCTTCTGGAAGGATTGATTGTTTATGCCAATTACACAAATTTCTCATCAAACGGTTTTTCACTAAATCAAAAATGTAATAAAATGTTTCTCGAGTCATTCTTGTATATGTATAAAATATTTGATCATCAAATTTCATTTTTTTACAAATAAATGATGGTATTCTTCGAAACGTTTCCTTTCTCTATTTATAGGATGTATAGCTTTTTAAATACACATTTTCTAACAAAACCAAATCATCGTCCGATGAATCCATCTTTTTGCTTGCCCTGCTTTAATCTGCTTCTTTTATGTAACTGTAACCAGTAAGGATCAGCGTCGATAAGCGCCGATAAGCACTGGTCGGCATAGCGTTAGTAGTGGCGGTACTTTGTGAAGGACGAGCTTTTCATAGCGCGTTATTAATTTGTCGTAATCTTTAACGAATCTTATCCTTGAAGTTTCGTTTCATTTAATGTATACGGATCACAATATAACTAATCAAAAAGTTGACTATGACTTAAAATTTAACTTTTTAGAATATTCGAATTAAATACTACTCATAACTTTTATGAAGTATAATGTACTAAATAAAGGCTGTTAATTTGCTAATTTTTGTTTGTATGGATATGTTTTTTATATTATCCTTTATCTCTTGTTAATATGCGACTTCAAATCTGACTAGCAATTTAAGTTTATTGTTATAGCAATTTAAGCAAAATATTTAGTAAAATAAATAAGAATGTTGTTCAAGGTTCCCATGGAAACATTTGATTAAAAGCTCAGAAATACATATTTTAATATAATTTATACTTTGCTAACAATATTCCTATAATTTAAGTACATAGGCTTTGTTAACTCACTATGTTTTAAAAGGCCTAAGGCTAAGGTTCCAGAATTAGCTCTTTTTAAGTGATTTCTGATAATAGTTTGTAATATGTTTCCTTAATTACTTAAAATTTATGAACCAAGGAATAATGGCTTGCTTTAATTTATCGTCTTCTTCGAATAATTTATCATGATATGAGTGTTTGAAATTAGGTAGGCCTTATTTGTATCACTTACCTTATAACAAGAAAATGGTGTCGACTCTGCCATGAATATCTAAACTTAAAACTAAATTTAAAATTAGCCAAAGGTGCATCCACACTACACATGCCGCCGCACCGACTAAGCCTGCCTTGGCGATGACTTTGTCGCTGGCCTGCAGCTACGGCCGCAATTTTAAGAATTTAGTAGTATACGTAGGATTAAAATATGTTGGACTGTAATATCATTACGTGTTTTGCATTTGATTTGTATACGTTATTATTATTCACAAAAAACGCAAGCACACCACAAAATGACCTCGAACTGACGTGGGCAAACAAAAGCCGCGATAGCGGCAGTTAAAGCTGGAGACTGACTAACATTTTGGTATAATGTATCGAGTTTGTGTAATACAAACTAAAGACTGACATGTAACGTTACTGTGTAATGTATAATACGCACGCTGTTTTAAATTATAGTTTATGCCGAAGGCAAATTGGCGACTCGTTCAATTTAAAATTTCACCACTGATTGTTTTAGTAAGGATCATTAGATCTCTTTTAGAGATAAGCCCACCTTTGCTTAGTATGTATTTAACTTTGTTTTGAATTATGTGATGCAATAAAGAGTATAATAATAATTATAAAACACAGGTTGCACAAATCAGATTATATTTCAGACATCGGGTAGTTACCTATTCAAATAAGACTAACTTAAAATACATGCTTAGTTGGGCACTCCTAAAGTAATTAAACTAGTTAAGTAAAAAAAAAACAATAATAAATCGATGTTTAATGTGGTAGGTACTGAATTTTGTCTCGACCACCATGTCCACGGTCCCTATGAATATAGATCTAACACATACTTAGATAAAAGATTGGTCTCGTCGAGCGTAGCGAGACCAATCATTTATCTATGATCTAACAATATATCAAAATATTCATAATAATCTTCTAATGGTATTTCACGGGCCGTTGCACTCTCAGAGCTGTCTTTTTTTTCAGTATAAAATGGTCCACATTGCGAAGACACAGCATATCATAATTTTTATTACCAATAAATAATATTCCTCAGGATTTCTCCGAGCACCAGATTCCATGAACACCTTAGCGTTGTTTTTGTGCCGGGTGATCTCAAAAAATTTGTTATTTGTACACGGCTTTAATACTGCTCCTAAGTATTTGTGAATCATAAAATTTACTTAATTCATTATAGTTTTTTTGTGAAATGTCCTTAGAACACGTAGAATTTGTACAGTATTCAATATTTTTCTGTGCCATGAAACTACTACAGGACGCCATTTTTCTTATTTTGATTAATGCGCCACGCGTGGTAAGAAATAAAACTAAATACTTCAATTTGCCGCGGCATTTTGTTAACACCAGTTGGATTGTTTATCAAATATTGTGGCATTTTATTAAGTAATAATAATAATAAAATAACTTTATTTCTCACCACAAATGACAAAAAAGGTTTATAAAAATTATAGGCGAATTATATTATGATGTCGTCATTCGGACTGGTGCCCGTGTAGGTTCATAGACCATTGTTACAGGTCACCAGGTCTCCATTGTTTACAGGAAATATTACACCTAGACAATGATACTCTAAGGCTTTGTATGGTAAGCATCGACTAATTATGGACTATATAGGGTGAAATTGAATGTTTTAATGAAACTTCGTGAGATTGTTGGGTTACGTGTATAGAGTTTGCCTGATTTTTTTTCGGATTTTTTTAAAGTATTTTTTTCATGTATTTATTTACAATTAGTGTATTTTAATGTCCTTTCCTCCTTTTGAGTAGTTATTCATTTTAAAGAAGTATACTTACATATCCAGTGAAAAACAACTAATAAATAAGTATTTCTAAAAAACTGAAAAACAGTAAAATTAAGCTGGCGCGCGCGGCCAGCGCGGGTCAACCACCGACCGCGCCCACCAGCTGTTGAGTAAGTAGGTACACAGAGCTCAGCAGGTGACTCCTTTGATTCCACACAATACAATAAAATCGTCTTAGATGCCTTTATTGAAATAATAAACACAAATGTCATCTTCTCTTAAGCAGAGAAAAACTTAAAAAGTTAATAATAATTTGGTCACGATTGGAAATAGGCAAATGTTAAACAAAAAGAAATACTTATTGCAGTTCAATACTTGGGTCAGAATGAAATTTATAACCAGGTATTCAAAAGTACTTACGAGACCGATGTACCGATTATTTTTTTTCACTATTTATTTATTTATTCATTAACACATGCCGGCTTACAGAAATATCCAAAAGTCATACATAAAAACATTAACATACATTCCAATTTAACAAAATTAAGAAAAACAAAAAAGTAATGTCAAATAGATAAACAAAAGTCAAATTGCCCATTGTAAAATTTTTAGTTAACATTATAATAAAATAAATAATCATGTCAAATTAATAAACAATTAATAATGTCATATCATTCCAAGAAATTAAAGAGATTAATGTCAACTAAGTACAATTAATGTCAAATATAATCTAATCTAATTAATAAAAAATGTCATACCCATTTAATAAATAAATCGTCAAATTCAGAATTAGTGAATGAGTTATCTTCTCGAGAAACTCATGTGCAGCCGCCACTAGCTTTGTTAAACCATCAGCGAACAAGTCCATATTATCACATTGAGCGAGCATGTCCCCGATCAGTCGGATTGCGCGCGTAGTAGGTGCGTGCGCGGCGTGTACGGTGCGCGTGATTGGCCGGTGGATAAGGCGCGGGCGCCGGCGCGGCGCCACCAGCCCGCCGACGTCGTGTGGGACGCGCGAGGGCACCGACAAACAACCGCTCCAGCACGCCAGGGCCATCCACTTTGCCGTAAAGCACAGAGAGATAGTGGATGACGAGAATGACATTTCTCCTTAGAGCGAGAGTATCCAGCCCGACCATACCGTACACGAACGATGAGGGATAGAGATACGGATAATATCCATTACACTTTTTGTATAACCACCGAGCGAACTTCCTCTGCAACTTCTCCACCATGAGGCTATATTTTTTCTCATGTGGGTCCCATAGAACCACTCCGTACTCGAGCTTACTTCGCACATACGCGTTATATAGTGCTTTGGCCACAGCAAAATTGCTAAATTCTGAACCTGTCCTCAGAATAAACCCTAAGAGTCGGCTCGCCGATTTACATATATTTGCCACGTATTTGTGGAAGTCCATTTTTTTATCTATAGTTATACCTTAATCTTTTATTTCGTTGATTCGTTCCAAAGGAGTGTCAAATAATTTATAGTCTGAATGCAACACATTACGCTTTCTTGAGAAAGTAATGGTTTTACATTTTGCAGGATTGAAAGACAGACGATTACTTTAGCTCCATGCGGCCACGGCATCAATGTCACTCTGCAAAGCATCTATAACAGAAATACGAGAAACAGAGTCGGACCCAAAGTACTCCCCTGGCTTACACCGGAACGGGTGTAGTAAACCTCAGATTCATGTCTATCCAAACGTACAAACTGACATCGGTCGCTGAGGTAGTTTGCGAAGAACTGCAAAAGTCGAGGTGTAAAACCGATCCCTGATAACTTTCGCAGCAAAATGTCGTTATCAACGAGGTCAAAGGCTTTTTTAAAATCAAAGTAGGCTGCGTCTACTTGTCT